ATTTCCTTCGACGTTCCACAATACAACAGGGTGGTCAAGTTTTTTTTGCAATGAACTTATCGGGAAATACCCGATGTCGAAACTCCTGTGGTATTGTAAGTGAACAAAAAATTGATTTGAAAATAAAGAAGTTATGAAATTAAGTTAAGTTATGAAATAAATAAATAAAAAGGAACAAATAAAGATAACAGAGAGATTCAAATCGAAATATTCTTTTCTTGCTAAGTGTCCGAAATTGTTACGTCAAGCTATTTTCTCCTAAAATATAATTTTACGCTGGTTAACCTTAACCCTTGACCTTTTAAATAGTCGTGTGTTAATTCATCTATTTATTTTCACTTCTTACCCTGTGAAAAAGCTTAGTTGAGAGATTGAGTGCGTCACAGACGCGACAAAATTTTTTTCGATCAGGGCACTATAGATATAAAGTTTCGCAGGTACCACTCCGTCGTCACGCCAAGCATAACTCCAAAGTTACACTGAAACAAATTTTTATGATTCAAGTTTTCATTTAATAGAAATTCTTAACTACAAACGCGGGTGTGTCATAGTCAGTAAAAGTTTTCAAATAATGGAAAAAGTATAAAGCGAACGAAAGAAAATATCTCTTAACCCTTTGCAAACGCATAAAACGTTGAGTGCACACAAATGATCCTCGATAGTCCTTTTACTCCACTCATAAATAAAAATAATGAGAATGGAGATTGGGTATTTTATTCCGGGGCACGATTGCCCGTCCAAAATACCCCCAAGGAAATCTCTCCAAAGAAATTCACAATACAAACACACTATAAAAGATCGACAGCCTCAAACATACCGAACTATCTTACGATTCAAAGAGGAGTATATACATATGCAATAGTAATTTGCATTTTTTTTCTATTTTTGAAAAATAATTCATTAACTTTCCAATCCAACGGAAGTTATTGCAATGACCCAGAAAATGAAACGTTGAATTTCGATGATTTCTCCACGTTTCATGACCTCTTGAGTCATCCTGAAAAGTTTTTGATGACATGACTGTGTGTGTGTGTATACGTGCGTACACTGATAGAATGATTCATTTATTCCAAACGAGATTCGTTAACTATTAACGAACGGTAGAGTTGAATATGATTAAACAAATATTCGTTAATAGTTAACGAATGGTTCACATGAAAGGTGAGAGTCAAGCCAAACGAGACTTCTGAAATATGCATTCGTTAACTATTAACGAGTGAACATTTGATGAGACTAAATGGACCCTAGCCTTTAACCAAATCCATTTGTTAACAATAATTAATGCAGTCTATCAGTGTATGTATGTACGTGACGAAAATTTTGTCCAACGATCTCTCCTGAATAAATGATCCGAATCAACTTTTTTTTCAATCGATGCGTCTTCATGTAATTTGGAACTGATTAGATCATGTAAACGATCACCTCAGCGGTTTGTTAGTTATTCGCATACTTGTAAACACGAAGGGGTTCGGGCCTATCAGACAGAAGGCATGTGACCGTTACTTTTTATGTCATTAGTTTCTTAATTTTTTTATTTCTACCAATTCCATTGGGAGTAAGCTTGCGAATGGAAAATATTCAACCTTTTAGTGAAATAGATTTATACAAAAAGGTAAATATCTCCAAAACTGCTCGCCCAGTTGCACCTATTCAAAAGACCAACCTTCAGTGTTGTAAGAGCTATAATCATACCAAATTTCGACCTGCTATCGCCATTTTTTCTCAAGTTATCATGTGTATAAGATTTTCATAAAAAACGGCAATATCTCCAAATTTGATATTAAAGAGTCGTCTATATATTCTGACTGACTTACATAAAGGCCATCGCGCCGAGTTTTTTTGAAATTGAAATCAGTGCAGTATTTTTTGAGACATTGAGGAAAAACGATATTTAAATAAGTTGTTATATCTTAGGAACCACTGGACCGATCGGGCTGCACGGAGAGAAAAATTCAATAAAAATTACCAGAAAAAAAGTAAAAATTACGTTTCGAAACGTAATCCGCGAGCGAAGTAAAATTCAATAAAAAGTGTGAGTCGAAACTGAAATTGTACGAATCGCCACGTAAATTTTACGATTTCATCCATAAAAAATAGCTACCCGTCTGATGACTCACCGCTGTGGGGACAACAAGACGTTTCGTAATTTTTTCCCAACGATTGAGAAATTTTACGCAACGGAACGTAGAAATAACTCACCGGCTTCATAAAAATTGTTGAACGTTCAAGAATTTTTGATTTTGAAGGCATAATAAGTCGGGAAGTTTCTGTAAGATTTTACTTCTTCGGAAAAAATTACATGACAATTTCGTACTTTGTTTGGTGATGAACCTGAGAATTCACTGAATGTTTCAGATTTCTTCTCTTCTATTCCTTTTAAAATTGCCGGGAAACGATTCCCCATTACGGATTACATGAATTGTGCCGTATTTTTTAGTGAATATTTCTCTTCATATGAAACAGCACGCCAAAGTTGTTCTCAATAATAGCTATAATGAGCCATAATTTCAGATTTTTATCTACAAATTTTACCGCAGTTATGTTGAAGTTCTAAAACTTAATCACCAAAAACCCAAGTTGTCGGATACATACATACAGACATGACCCTAAAATAGTATATTTCGTAACGAGTGTAAAAAATATTTTTTCATGAGTTACGAACAATATTTTTCATCACAATGTGACGGAAACATCATTTCTTCACGTTTCATAGCATTCTAGACCATTTGCAATCAAAATTAGAAAATCGAAAACCGAAAAAAGGCTTCCATTCGGATGCAAAAAATATCATTATCTGACCTTCATTCAAGACATGGAAAACTTTCAGTGGGATTAACTGGGTAACGTGGCATTGACGGTATTCGAATGCATTTTTCGACACAAATAGTTTTACCTCTTGGTTACTCAAATAGTCCACATCTTCCGAGAAATATTCAGCCAACTATATATTAACGTACACTTTATGTATACTGTGGTGCAGGCAACCTCTGAATTTTTATAGTTAGATTATGAAAAATATTTCAGGAAGGAATTACCAAGGTACGTCGCAAATATCGATAGATCCCAAGATGTAAACCTTTGAATTGCCAGGTCAGCGTCTTTTATCCCCAGATCCATTAATATGAGAGAAAAGCATCAATGACCCTCGTGTAGAAAATTTCCTGGTCCATAAAAAGCTTTAGGTAATTTTCCGTTATCGTGCATTATTTAAACCAACGCTCGCTTTCAAAGGTCGAGTCGAGTGAATTGTAAATCAATTTATTCCGGTCTCCTAGGTGATTTCTAACTGATGTTCATTTCTGTGAGCCATGGAATAAGTCAGCACCTGTATTCCATTCCATCAATTTGAATAAAAAATGATCAAGAATATTTGGACGAGTACAGAGACAATCTTCTGATGTTGAGACAGGAAGTTGTGATGAAAATATCTTCAATAACTAAAATCAGTTCGTTCTAGCGAACTACCTTTAGATAATTTGCAATGATTCAGTGATATATTCTATAATGCCCTGAGTTTCGCTGATATTTTCATAGGAACAAGTAGGCAATAGCATTTTTTTAATGAACTAGGGGGCTCCGTCCCTCTCCCCTTTCATGTAACCATGCAGGTATCACCATGGAGGTTTCTTCAACAGCTTCATTATTTAAATTTGACGGTGAAATGAGATGAACACAGAAAATTTTTAATGAATGGAGATGTGAAACGTGAATCAAAAGGAATGATAGAAAATAAGAGTACAAAAATATTAATGTTATTGAAGAAACGAAAAAAATTGAGAAAACAAAACCAATTAGGCAAACTTGTTAAGTGCAACAGAAATAGCAGTTCTGAAAGTATGAGGGGGTCCCCATATGTGAGGGGAGTCCCTATATATGAGGGGGGCATATATGAGGAAGCTCCCTATATGAGGGGGTTCCGATATATGGCCCAGCCCTGAGCCGACATTGGTTCAATCCTGGACCAACATTGGCCCGACCCTGGGCCGACATTACCAGCTTAGCGTCGCCTGAATCTGTAATCTCGCCTGAGTTTTCAACGACTCCTGAATTTCAAGCGTCACTTGAATTTTTGGCCTTATTTTTTTATTATATAGAGACATGAGTATAGTAATTGTTGCTTATAAACTAGCAATTTGCTTCCGAAAGTTTCTTTTTTTGAAATTCTTATTTCAGTATTCTCTTCTATTTTTTCATGTTCCATTAACCTTCAACTGAAATGTCATCAAAATTTTGCGTATTATTTCGTTTTGTCTAATAATTCTACATTCAGACCTCGAATTCGCTTTCAGTCTCGGTTTAATGAAGATTCAATGAATGTTTAAGATGTGTATAGCCAGGGTTTAATCAGAGTTTATTCAGGATTTCACCAGAGTTTAACTCAGGTTCTGTCAGAAGGTAGTTGGGACCATGAATTCTTATAAATGAGTATTGAACATAATAAACTGGTACCTGAGTTTAATAGAGATAGAGATTCTGATGTTGATTCGTTGATATCAAAACGGCTTAAGCAATGTTAAAAATTCAATACATTTCTTCAGTTATCGCATCAATTTCGTAGAACTCTAGAATTTTCTCAAAAGAGGACTAGAGAAAATCTCCAGATTTTATGGAAAATTTGAGAAAATTTTTGCAGATTTAGAACAATTTTAAGTTCTCGGAATCGTCGACTGGAAGTGTGGAAAAATGATGAATGGAAACGTTGTTTTCAATAATTATATATATAGTAATATCAATGATAATAATTATGAATAATGAATTTCGGAAAAAATTTGGAAAATAAAAAAAGAAAAAAATGCAAAAATGACATCAGCACATCATTCCGTTGGCCAGGGTGGCGCTAGTTATAGTATATAAATGACCCCTTCTTCATTCCCATAAAAATAAAACAAGAAAAAAATTGAAAGCTTTGCTTTTATCATCACAATAGTACAATCATTCGATCATGTCATGAGCTATCACCAAGTAATTGGATCACACATAGACAATATCCATAATATTCAATACAATCGTATTATTTATCACGAAGTCTTATCAACATCACGCTTCTCTGAACTCGTAAACCTCCACATAGTACATTTCTACTTTTTCTCCCGACGACAGTTTCTATTCCGAATTAGTCTTCAGTTTCGTTCCAAGTGGACCCATTCTCTCGGGGACACAAAAAATAGAGACCCCCACAGTTTGAGTTACTAGTTCCTCTCTGATCATCCTAATTTCGGTGATGACTATTACTTGGAAGCGTTCCAACACCGTCCGATCCTGTTCACGAGCAATGGATAATAGTTGGACTTTCGAGAGTTTCGTTCTCAGAATGGACTGATCGATCCATCAATTTCTGGAGTAACCTTTGTGTTCTCACATTATTCTCAGCATAAAAACCTTATTCATCGTCTAAAGTTATTTCAAAGTTTTATTTATATATAATTTGAGGGATTCTGTGATTGCCCCAGTAAATACATGTTCCCTGAAGTTATTTATTCATGAGATAAATGTATAAATAAAGATTGAAAAATACAATTTTGACTCACATTTCAAAATATTCACTTTCTGTACTAATTTTATTCCATCATAGGCTCTGTCTTCACCGACCAACTCACGTTAATCAAGTCCCGCATTCCGAAATCACACGTCTCTCCGCTCTCATCACATATTTCTTCACAGATGTCAATAACCCTTTTACCATCTAAATCTTTCTCGAACTCCTTCCTCCGCTGCAGGATAATCTCTTCATTCTCATCGAAAAGCTCGACAAACTTGTTATCAAGCAGAATCTCCCACTGTTCACAGCGAAATGGGAGATGCAATGTCACCATCTCCCTCTTGTACTCATCCATCTCCTTGTCCGGATCATAATTATGGTATCTTATTATAGAGGGCTCTTCTCGCCTCAAGTACTCGTTTTTCGTATTCCAATAATATTTGGCAGCAAACTGCGCAAGAGTAACATGTTCCATTGCCTGTGGTCTCTCTTCGTACTTTTGGAACATATCAGTTTTGATCATTTCTGATGGATTCTCATCACAAATCACTTCCTCCATTTCGTCACTATTTTTCTTACTACTAGTTTGTCGTTCATTTGGCCAGACGGTTGGTATATAAACAATCTTTGTACAAGTTTTACACATGGGTTCCCTCAATAAGTACCTGCAACACGAGAATAATTCATCGTGATGTGATTGGAACGCAATTGCCAAAGGGAAATCAGAACGCTGAATTTAAATATTATGAACACATAGGGGGCGCCTCGAGCGAGCGAAGCCCCCCCCCCCTCTCCACCAATCATCGTGGGTATGTTCAACTGTTCGCATTATACAGAAAAAAAAATTATAAAAAAAAAACCCTTGCATAATAGTCATATGACCCCATATGAACTCAGAAAGTTTTTGCGGTCACGGAGAGAAATATTCAATACAAATTACGTATCTTTTTCGTAATTCCGGAGCGAAATGTGGTTATAGGAAATGTTACGGAACTGTCACGTAATTTTTACCTAAAATCACGAGATTTTTCCAGAGCGTTCCGTAATTTTTACCTGAATCTCTTGTGAAAAATTACGATACCGTCACTTAAATTTTCTGAGGCGATTCCGTAATCGGTGAGTGAACTGTGAGTTCCGTAATTTTTGCTGAACATTTCTCTCCGTATTGTTTTAATTTACCAGATTATTATATAGAGAGATTTACAGTTTTGAAGACTAAATCTGAAATAAATTTTGAATGGTGCTTCATCGATAATTTAGCATTATCGATAATAATTAATTAAGAAGTGTCGAAATCAGTTTTCTAAAAAACTGACTTTTTCAAGATTAGAAAAAGATTTAAATTTAGAAAAAAAAGTACAGAAAAATGTTCAACAGTCACAAACTTTTGTGATAAAAATAATAAAAAATCTAGAAAATTTTTTCCAAGTATTGGAAAAAAAGCATTCAAAATTAATGATGAAAATTGGGATTAATTTTAAACCAAAATATACTTAATTTTAGGAAAAAAAATATTTTCTAAAATAAAAAAAAATTTGTTTTTTTAGGGGGGGGGGTCGGTAAAGAGGGTGCTTCATGTATGGGGGGATTATACATGGGGATAGTGATATCCGGGGGGATTTTATTAAATGGTGGTTTCATCGATGGGGGGAGTTTTACCTAAGAGGATCTAGGTGTGGGGTCGGCCGTAAAAGGGCAGATTTATATGGAGAGTCATATATGTGGGGGAGTTGTAAAGAGGGGGTTTTGCAAAGAGGGAAATTGTATAAAGAGAGGCGTTTTGTAAAGAGGGGTGTACTTTGAAAGGCGGTTTTGTATATCGAGAATCCAGTGCGACCCCCACCCCCCTATATATAAAGCTCCTGTAGGGGGGGATATCTTCTACACTGATGGAACTACAAACAAAATGGTGGTATAAAAAATGTTGGTAATTTTATGATGCATCTTTTCAGTTATTAGAAATTTAGGTCCATTCCCAACAGTTAACGAGATAATTACGATTTAATTATCAACAAAATGCGAATTTGTCTCGCCATCGCCTATAAAATGTTAACTGTTGAAAAATATGGATGAGAATTTGATACCATAAAATCAAATGGTTATTTATGTAGAACCAGAAAAATATGCCTTTAAATTTATATTCAATCAACGCATGATATAGTGAAGGATAATAATTAATAATTAAATTTCATATGAAAATTGAAATGACTGCATCGCAACAATGGAATTAAGGAAAGAATATATAAATGAAATTTGTTTTCTCATACCAAGCAGCCTCCTGAGCTGTAATCTCCACGGTTCTCAACACATCTCCAATCAACTTTTTCGTCATCTCTCTGATATCAAATGCAGGGTTTTCATCAGCGATTGCCATGATCCTTCGTCGTAAGTCACTTATCCCTTTATTTGTTTTATCAACATAATCAATAACATGAGCTGCACAAGTATGATTATCCAGGATAAACTGAACATCAATACATGAGTTGAGCACATTAAGAATGAAAGGATTGAATCCAAGATGCCATTTCTCAGGAGGCTCCCTCTTCAAAAAAACCGTTGGTTGACTGATCCCAGCTCTAAGAACATCGATATAATGCTCCTTCGAGATGATCTGATTGCCCTCATAAAAACTCCTCATATCTGGATAATCAAAAATCTCTAGATTCTGTTTAATGCTTCTAAATCGTTCTGCGTATCTCGAAAAGCCCGGATGCAGTTTGTCCATCGGTGCCAATATCATCGTCTCCTCACATGGCATAAACGGTGCTCCATATTGGCACATCTCACTACCTGGAAGTACTTTTGTATAGCATGTAGGGCCGTGTCTATGTGCCTGGAGGTCAATGTTGCTCGTGGCATTCTCACCTGATACAGAAATCAGTTTATCGATCATCGCAATTGCCTCGCGTTTGTCGACACCAAGTGGATCTACTGGAGCTCCGTCAAGCCATAAGAGGACATGCACTTTAGTACTGCCATCATGAGGGAACTCGATACGCTTGAAGTAATGAGCCACTCGATACTGCTTAAATGGCGACCATTTTTTAGACTGAAGAATCCCCATCAAGACATTGATCAATGCGCTGAAGTAGAGGGCGCAGGTGACGGCGTCGTCATTCACTAATTTGCTTTTTTGGAATGGGGTCAATTGCCGGACTGCTTCTTCCGAAATCTCACAACCGTCGTGTCTACACTTGAACAAAGTCTGAAGTAGTTGATTCCAATCCATCTCATTGGCCTGAAAAGTTAACGACATCGTGGGTCTTCCAATCTGCCTGATCATCGCCAGGAGATCTTTTCCTCGTTCAGACCAGTGCCAGGGGGAATTGGGTAATGATCTCAGGAAGGTGAGATTACTCTCGATGAAGTTATTCAGAAACTCTTCTGATTGCCATCGTTCTTGATCATTGGTTCCCTTGTTCATGATCCTGGCAGGGAGATTAGCACGAACTCTCAATGTCATCATCTTCATCGCCATGTAGAAAAGGTGCTCTGGAGTGACGCCTCGTCTGTCCGAACGTTTTATCTCACTCATCATGATCATGAATGGGGTCACACGAGGAGTACGTTCTATGGTGAAGCTTCTCGGGGTTCCCAGATAGATAGAAGGGAACGAGAACTCTTCTATATGATTTTCCAACAATGAACTGTGCAAAATTTTCAACTCCGGTGGGTTTGCTTGGAAATAATTGAGATCGTTCCATAATAGCGTCTGTTGGTCAGCAATGAGGCTCTCCTCTTCTGGAATCTCTTCGCTTAATTGATCTCTGAGAATTTTCGGTGAGAAATTATCCTCGAAGAATGCTTCATCAATTGTTATTCCATGCTTCTTATAAAGAGGCGTTTCTACCAAATAATTCAACCACGTTTTCAGGGTTGGTTTATCAATCAAACCTATCAACTCCCTTGTTTCTTGTATCTTCCTCTCATTGATGTTCACGTTGATACAATGATCCTCGTTCATACCTCTAGGTAACCTTTCCACCAAGGTTTTTTCAGCAACAGGAAAATTAATTGTTTGTGCGTAAATAGCAGGAGAATCACATGAATGACGGAATCTATGAATTTGGAAGAATGGAAGATGAGGGGAGATGAGTCTTTTCGTCAGTGAATCCAATTCCGGTAGATTATCCGGAATTTTTGGGTAACAAAAACCATTAGTCTTTGATAATGGCGGGAATCTAGATCGTTTCAGGTAAGTTCTGCAGGTATCACACGCTTGAATCTTGGCCCAGGGAACATTGGAAAATTCAGGATGTAGAATTGTTGAGTATTTCGATTCAACGAATTTAATATCATTTTTGAAACAGAGACGATCGCAGATGGTGCACACGTAACCGAAGGGATTGTCTATGAATTGTTTGTGGAATTCTGCATGGGCACTTGAATCGTGATCGAAGTTCTTGTAGGGATATAGAGGCGAGGAACTCACGATTGACAAAGGCTTCAAAATGCTTATTGGTTGTTTGTCAATTGCTGTTGACGATGCTGAAGAAGATACCGAGTCCGTAGGGAGTGCTAACGGATCGACGAACGCCTGATTTGCATGCTGAATGGCCGCCTTGGCCTTTTGTCTCGCACGGTACTCACGAACGCGTTCTGCTGCGGTTTTAGGCGGTTTCTTTGGTGACCGGTGTAGACGTTGACGATCCCGATATTCGCGTGAACGTTCTGCTGAGGTTTTCGCCAAACGTCGTTGAATACTTTGATTCCATACGGAAGAATCAGTCGGGAGAGGATTGTTGGACATGGTGAGCCGCGAGAAATGGCGAAGATACTGGTGATGCGCCGCGTGGTCTGCGCCGTCGGTAGCGAGGAGAATGTCGTTCGTGTTACAGTACAGTTACAGTGTGGCATCACGTGGCACAAGGCGAAATCGACCTCGCTGCGGTTGGACAAGTGGGGAGGAACTGGTAACGGAATAGCGTTGCGCGTGAATGTTACCATGGCAAGCGGTCGGAGGGAGTGGTGGGATTCAAACGCACCTTTCTGCGTTTACGTTTCAGTGAGTTTGTTTAATTAATGCGCTGGGGTTATTCTGATTGCGGAAATAGATTATCGAGGTGGGGAATTTGGTATGTGGAGACAAATATAAAAGTAATTGGGTCAATAATATTTGATTTAATATAATTTAATGGGATGGATTTTTCGGAAATATGGGGAAACAAGTTTCTGAAGTTCGGAAAAAGTTAATTGATTTATGAAAATCTTTTTATCAACATGCATCGTTCCGTGGATGATGACGAGCATATTGCACTGTTGAAAATTTTTGTCTGAATTATCCGTGCCAAATTCCTGAAATTTTTATCGTGTTCCAATTTCACTAAAATTTCAGGAAATCTTGTCATTGAAAATTCAGAATCTCGTGGAAAAATGAAACAGAACTGTAAGCCAGAAAATTCTGGTAAATATATTCTTGAATTTTCAGGATAGTGACACTGAATCCGCTTCAGGAAAAAAAATCATAAAATTTCAGATTACACTGAAAATTCAATGCAATTTGATACTGAATATTCATATTAGATTGGAAATTCAAATACATTAAGGAATTGTCGTCTTTATGCCCCCTAAAATTTTAGGATTTTACTCAATTTTCAGTGAAACCTGAAATTTCATGATTTTTTTCCCCTAAATGGCATTCAGTGTCACTGTGCTGAAAATTGGTAGTCAACTGTCCATGAAATTTCTTTTTTTTTCTAACAGTGCTTCCGAATGGAAACTTTGTAATCGCGAGAACTAAAGTTTCCAATTTTTTGTGTTAGGGTAACTAAATATGGCCTACAAAGTCCGAATATGCGATTTTTAGATGGTGTCTGTATGTAGGTATGTGGTCTTTTTTTCTGAATTTTTTTATGAAATTTTCTTATAAGAAATCAATCGAATTGCATAATTTTTTTCATCAATGTAGACATTAGCAGGTTTTATTCATTGGCACCAATTAAAATTCAATTCTTCACAATGATTCAAAAAAATTGATATTTTTCAGAAAATAAAATATTAAAATTATTTTTCAACGATCATTCAAAACATTGTCATGAAATTGGAATTAGTCATGGCTTAATGCGTAAGCATTGGAAATTATGGTTTCTAAAATTTAGAAAATGTTTTAATTTTCTCTATATAAGTTTTGCAGAATATTTTCAATTTACAGACGATTGAATGAAATAGTTTGAAAAAGCAAAATTAGTTGGAAAAATAACAAGGAAGGAATGCAAATTGTTTGCATAAAAAACCACAGAATTTCAACAAAGAACGAAAAATTACAGAAGAAAAGGTGTTACATATCCTATTGTATATTCAGGAGTACAGCACTTACTGCAAGTCCTCAAGAGAATAAAAGGCCAAGAGAAATACTAAAGAGTTCTGTTCACACTCTCGTCGAGAGACTCGTTAAAAGTGTTGTACCACGTGAATTTTAAATTCGCACTTGTCATTCCTCTTTAACATTCACTTGAGGGCTATAAAAGCTGAAATTATGAACGATCTTCACACTTGAAGTTGGCGAAATTCAATTCTCCACTCATTTCTTTAATAATTAAAGAATGAAATTACAGGTGGAAGTGAATTCACTGAACTTCATCAGATAATTTAATAAATTGATAATTCATAGCAAAAATACAATACCAAGCTCCTATTCAGAAGAGAATTTTTCCATCTAAATTTCGCCTAAGAGAATTACACTATGAGACAAAATCCATCTGTCAGTTCCAATGAGAGGCTCACTCAATCAGGAAATGTTTTGTTTTTCGTATATATATACTAACTTGAAAAATTACCAGTGGAATTATCGCAAATAATCAGTTAAATATCGTGTTGACCAGATAAAATTACAGTCGAATAGTGAAATTCTATTGGCTAAAATTTGGATGCAAAAAATTCTCATCAAAACGCAATTAATCATGCCTCAAAAAATTAATAACAATACCCTCTTGATTCTATGAGAATATTGTGGGGGTCGCACAATTCGTTGTTGAGTTACAGCACAGTGTTTATATGATTTAAAAAAGAAAATCGTTTTTTTTTCATAATTACTGAAAGAATCACCACACGGAGAGAATTTTTTGATAAAAATTATCCTACCGTTCTATAAAAGTGTATTATGAGTCATGGTTTCCTCATTCCTATCCCGAAATTTAGTAAAAATTAATATATGATGATCAAATTTTATTTTACGTTAGAGAGATTTTATCCTGATAAAAATAAAAATTACCGTGCCGGCAGAGTAAAAATTACTGTACCAGTAGGATAAAATTTACCAACCGTTTTAGAATTTTCGTTATCTACATAAAAATCATTGGACTGGAAGGGTAAAATTAATTATGGGTCAGAATAAAATTTCTCTAACGTAGAATAAAATTTGATCATCATATATTAATTTTTATCAAAAATTTCTATCCGTGCAGTAATAGCAATTAAATCAGGGCTTGAAAAGTATATGTCAATGTTTCTTTAAGGATTGATGTAAGCAATTTTGGCGGGAGTTTTTCACAAGAGTAAATTTTTTATGGTCAAATGCCATGAAACTTTGGCAAAACGTTGTTTGAACCATTATAAGATGATCGATCT